AGATCGGTAGGGGATTAAGAGGTACAAACTATGATGTATAAAATAAGCTACAAGGATATATTGTACAGCACAGGGAAATATAGCCATTGTTTTATAATAACTTTAAATGGAGTGTACTCTATAAAAATACTGAATCACTGTGTTGTGTACCTGAAACTAATATAATATTGTAAATCAACAGTACTTCAATTAAAAAAAAAAGATAATGCCAAATTGTTTTCCAAAGTGATCTACGTATATTCAGGCCAGTAAAGTACAAAAGTCCCAGTGATCCATGTCCTTTCCAGCACTTGGGATTATAAGATTTATTAATTTTTTCCCTTTTTAGATGTAAAATTGTGTCGCTTCCCCCCCCCCAAGTTTTACTGAGATATAATTGACACACAGCGCTGTATAAGTTTAAGGTGTACAGCATAATGACTTGACTTACATATATCATGCAGTTATTATCCTAATGAGTTCAGTGAACACCCACCATCTCATATAGATGCAAAATTAAAGACATAGAAAAACTTTTTCTTGTAATGAGAACTCTTAGGATTTACTCTCTCAGTGACCCATATATAACGCACAACAGTGTTAATTGCATGTATCATGTTGTACGTTACATCTCAAGTACTTATTTATCTTATAACTGGAAGTTTTTACCTTTGACTGCCTTCTCCCAATGCCCCCTCCCCACAAGCCCCTGTATCTCCTTTTCAATGTAACTTATATTTCCCCAAGAAAAGAGATTGAGGTTGCTTTATATGCTCATTGACCATTCACAGTTCCATTTCTGTGAAGTGCCTGTTTGTCTTTTACCCATTTTTCTATTGGATAATTTGCGTTTTTGTTATTAAAAAGTTCTTCACATATCTTGGATCCAAATTTTTTACCAGCTATAAGTATTATTGGTATTTTCTCCCAGTTTGTGGCTCGCTTTGCTCCCTCTCTTTATGGTATCTTTATAAACAGAAGCTTTAAGGAAGTTTTAATTATAAGGAGGTTGAGTTTATCAATCTTTTCTATTGTTATTAGAATTGTTTATCTTGTTTAAAAAACATCTAGCTCAACACTGAATTTATAAATATATTCTCCTGTACTTTCCTTTAAAGGGTTTAAAAGCCTTATCTTTCACATTTAAGATGCATGTGGAATTCATTTTTGTGTGCATAGTATGAAGTAGGGCTCCAATTTAATTTTCTTCATACGGATAAACAATTATCTTGTAAAAGCATTTATTTAGATTGAAATATATTCACAATCTATATTGCTATGAGAGGAAAACATAATATAACAGAATATATGGTATTTCTGAAAACAAAATGTAGTAAATGTAGTAATTAATATACATACAACATTTAAAGAAAAAATATTGGAAGGACATACACTAAAATAACAACAAAGATTATCTTTGGACAGTGGGATAATTGATGACTTTTGTTTATTTTTTTTCTGTCTGTATTTTCCAGGTTCCCTCTATTGAGCATATATTTATATAGTTTTTAAAACAGTGAGAAATAAGGTAGTGTCTATAGATGATAATATAGTGTCAGCACCTTGAAGAGAAGTCAGTAGTTGAAAGAGAAACCATACATTGAAGTCTTTCAACTGAACTTTTTTTTTTTAATAACTTCTTGCATTCCCAGAGTAGGGTGTGGGGGTGAGGGTGAAGGGTGGGCAAGAGGGATGTTTGTGGATTATTCAGTGAGACTCAGTACAAGATGAAAAGGGATTAAGTTCTGAAAGCTGAGTGAGTTTTCTGTAGATAGTTACATACAATTTCTCTGCCCTGAATTGTTTGCTTTACAGGTATGTAAGGTTCTTTGGAGAATAGGATCCAGATTACTTATGTATACCATTGGTGACATATTTTTTTTTTTTGGCCCAACAGCAGATTATGAAAAGACTTATAAAGAGATATGTTTTGAAAGCACAAGTAGACAAAGAAAATGATGAAGTTAATGAAGGTAAGCATCTTTACCTTGAGAAACATCCTTTTACAACTAATTTAATGAACTTGGAAAACTTCATATGGAAGGATACTTTAAAAATCCAATCTCAGGTAACAGTTCGGACTTCTCCAAGATTGGCAGGAGAACCTTAACGTTACATTTCTAAAAGCATGTCTTTTTAAAGAAACAATTATTTAAAGTGTCAATCAGAGACAATTTATCCCTACAGAATGCCCAAACTGATTCTTAGAATGTAAAGACTGCCATCTTTCTGGGAGCTTTTAATCCCTATTACATAAGGTAGTCCATCATTTCAGTTGTGTTTCAGTGAGTTCATGTGAGTGTTCACATTTTTCCAATGATGCAGGTGAAATAATGGTTGGTGCAAACAGAATCCACATTTTTTCCAGGAAAATCTTAACTTTGTTGTCCAGAAAGAAATCTCTAACCCACTTTTCCCATCCAGCGTTTCTCTTTTGCCTTTCACGCTTCTTCTCATGCCTATTTTTCCAGGCATATCCTAGGCAAGGCATCTGTCTAGACTATAAAATTTTTTTATCAAAGGCTGGGGTGCAAGCCAAAGCACAGGTCCAGAGATGGAAAGAAATCAACCTGGGAGAAATAAGTTGCCCTAAAAACAGAAAGGACAATTTTCAACACCAATGAGATGCCATTAGATCTACCTGCACTGATAAGAAAGGGCTAGCCTAAATAAAATTTTTGATGAGCTTTGATTAATGCAAGGAGTCCCTTGTAAATCTGAGTCAGTACAATGGTATGTGGATATAGAAAAGAAATCTAAGAATGTGTGATTGGGAACCAGCAAATATCCAATCACGGTGACCTAGAAACAGCCTCAGGGAGACAGGATTGGAATTAGGTTTTAGTTTAGAAAGCAGAAACCTAGTCAGTTGTCCCTGAAAACAAACAAAAAAAGTAAGCGATGGGGGGAATTGAGTCACCATAACATCGTCAAAAACAAGGTGCCATCTTCCAAGCCCTTTTACCCAAAAAAGGAAAATGAATTAATGAGAATTTGGAGTTTTGAGCAAAGTTCTAACTAAGAAAGTATATCATTTAACTCAACCTCCTCATTTAATAAATGAAGAAACTAAATGCTGAAGAGGTCGAGTAACTTGTGTTTCCTGTATTGGCAGACTAAATTCGATACTTAGTGTCTAGGCACCCCAGAACTCAAAAACAAGGATGAAGGATATGGCAGTAAGGAGGTGAAAGGGGGCGCACTGGGCTTATGGTCCAAATATGACCCTAATTGGTATGAGAATCCATTTCTTCCACCAGACTGGCCTCGTGATTTCAAATTTGATCAGTTTATTTTGTCTATAGTGCCATTTGCAAAAGGAATAAGCACTTTTTTTTCCGCTGTAAAAGGAATCAACAAATGTTTTGTCTGTATTCTTAAAGGAGAGTTAAAATTCCTTAAAATAAAAAGGTTCTGACTTTTATATAATAAAAGAACATAGAGATTACACTTTAAAGCATCATAAAGATACCAGGAAATACCAATAAAAGATCCGTTTCTCATGTGATTCTATTGTAAAAAGCTGTTAAAGTGCCAGTGAGTTGAAGAATCATTTCTTAGATTCAAGATAAATTCCTGTCCCAAAGTTTACTTTTTAAGGCCATTGGCTTATCTACAATTATTTGCAAGAGAATCCAGTTTTTGATTGCAATCTACATATGCTTAAAATACTGCCAAGCTGAATTATGGGAATAGTTGTGTTTTAATAGCCGGAAGTCTCCTATGGATGTACACATTGCCAGTGGCATCACATCTAAACTTATTTCACCATTACTTGTTATCTCCTTAAATATCCGTCCCCTTGGCCACACAAACTAATTTGTTTGTTCCTTGACTCCATGTTCATTACTGTTACCCTCCCTAAGAAACACCCCTAACCTTTTTCCTTCCTTTTCCTTACTTCAAACTTGACCTAAAATTTACTTCCTCCATGTATTTTCCTGTTAAAAAGATTGACTCATTTTTGGTAACGTTTTGTTTTGCTGGGGTTCCTTTCCATCCTAGTAGTGGGCAATGATCTATGCAGATGTCAGCCCTTATGACTGAGGGACTGGAGGAACTCCCTGAAGACAGAAAGGAGATACTCTGCTTATAGAAATCACTCCATGCTAAAAATTGGCTGAGCCACAGGTCAATACTTGAGCTTAGTTTTACTTTTAAAACATAGATGGACTATCTTTATAGCTTTCCCAAAGGTCAGTACGTTTTTAATGGCAGACAATTCTTAAACATTTAAAGGAAAAAATCTGAAATAACTAAATTAGAGATGTTATGAGACCAATGTATTCATAGTGTATGAATTTCAGTCTTTATTTTTTTTCCAAATCCAAAGAGCAAATTACCAATTAAATATTTTTTTTATACAAATACTCTAGGTGAATTGAAAGAAATCAAGCAAGATATCTCCAGCCTTCGTTATGAACTTTTGGAGGACAAAAGCCAAGCAACTGAGGAATTAGCCATTCTAATTCATAAACTCAGTGAGAAACTAAATCCCAGCATGCTGAGATGTGAATGATTCAGTAACCTGGAATTATGGCTTTGACTATAGCACAAATGTGGGCAATAATATTTCTAAGTATGAAATACTTGAAAAACTATGGTGTAAATTTTGGTATTAGCTACCTTTATCATGTGAATCTTTAAAAGTTAGGTCTTAATGATTTTACTGTTTATCACATGCAAATGGTCTTCATTTTAATTGTCTGCCTTGACATGACAAACAACGACATGCCATTGTATTTAAAGGCCCAATATTACCACATTACTGACATTTTTGTCCATTTCAGAATAAACTCTATGTCTTTGCACTACCTGTTTGCCTCCAAGAGACTGTAAGCTCCTTGGGGACAGGGACCATGTCTTGTTCATCTTTGTGTCTCCAGCATCTAGTACAGTGCCTGGTACATAGTAGGTGCTCAGTAAATGTTGTTGAAACCAACTCAACTGAACTGCCAACAAAATACAAATAAAAATTAAAAGGCCATCACTATTGAGCATACCTTCCCTTGTCCAAGTGCTGAAGAGATTTTTTTCAATAGAAACTGAAGAGATTTTACAAGCAGCTGTGACTTGGTCAGATTTTCTTAGAATTTTTGGCATGACTGAATGAAGAATTTCACAGTGAAATGGGTTAATAGAAAATCTAATTACATTAACCAACTTAAGTTTCATAGAATTGTTCAAAACAACACATTAAAGATTTTTCTAAACTATATACTGTTTACTTTCTGTTTTAGATTTTCATCTGTTGTTTTTAGTAATATGAATTTAGTCAGAAGGGTGGTGAATTTTTAAAGTCGGGGGTTATGCAGGGTTGTTAGTTTGGTATAATCTCCTAATTTCTGCCTCTGATGCTTTAATGCTAAATAAATTATCAAAAACTGTCTTCGTATCTTGCCTGTTAGCTCTACTCTGAGTTTTGGAGGGTATGCTATGGGAAAAAATGGGAAAGAGGGTGTGTACCTGGAAAGGCGCATGTCCAATCATCAACAAGTGTGTTTCATTTCCCTTTGAGGCATCTCTTGCCATCATTGCTTACAATGATTGACATCCTTTTTTTTTATCAAGGCATTTCAGTTACACTTGCTACACAAAATAGACTCTGATGTATCTGTATCTGACTTACTGTATAACTGAGCTGAACACTGGAAATATCCACAACGTCTCATGACTGTACTAGGAAAGGGGATACAGGCCGGTAAGTTCTCTCATCTCTGCACAGACCAGAAAATACTCAAAGAATTTTTTTAACCAGCTAAGTTTAAATCTGTCATAGAGTTATGCTTAATGTCCTGATTATCTTAAATCTGTTCCTATCAAGTCTCACCAGAATACAAATTGTGATCATAGCTCAAAGAGTTTTATAGGTTCTGAAGGCCAATTAAATACATGATACTAAAAAAATCATTACTATCATGCAGGAAGGGTTTCTAGACACGAAAACAAAAATGAACATTAATGGAACTACATAAAGCTCTTTAAATATTGTTTCTTAATGTCTACTTTTTGGGACTTAAGAAATGAACTTTATACATTTTTGCTACCATTGTAGAATATTTCATTAACTTTTGTACTATGCTAATAGATTTTGTGTTAAACATTTTTCAAGCTTTATGTAATTTATGTTATGCCTCAGAACGGAATAAAATACTGAATTTTTCATTGTTATATGTTATATATACTTTATATTAAACCACTGAAGATGTGGATTTTCCATAATAGACAACACTTTCAGTCTTATATATAGTGCTGTCTAGGATTCCAAGTATGGAAATTTTTGCTTACAGTTATGGAACAGAATATGAAGTCATATTTTTAATTAGGGTTGGAAAAAGGTTGAATATGAAAGTGTCAGATTCAGCTAGTCTAGTATTCTTAGAGTGTTGAATAAAGATAAAACTCATGTCATCTCTGCCATGTGAGCACACACATCTTTTTCTTTAGTCCATGCTTTTTGCAACTCCAGAGCTCTCAACGTAGATTGTTTTCCCTTTATTTACTGTGCTTGTGTAAAACTAGTATGTTTTCGCTGTTTTGTTTTTTTCTTTCTTTATAGTTTCTGGGTGGTAGTCAAGAAGGAAGATGTGATGCCAAGGTGTGGTGGGTGCTATGGATCCTATGGATGCCCTGCCTAGGTTCCCTTTAATGGGCCGGTCCATGCATCTCTCAGATCCTGTGATCCTTAACAACTCCCAGCCGTCCTGTCCCCCAGCGGATTGCCCTCAGTGGAAAGGAAGCCACCTTGCAGTGGTTGTTAGGACTTTCCCTCACAGCCAGCTGGGGTGGAGGCACAAAAGTCTGGCCCCTTGTGTCAAGGTAGGGCCAACTTTTTTGGTACAGTTCATGCCTCAGAACTCTGGAAAGGATTAGGCTGAAGCTAGACTCCAGCTGAGACCTAATCTTTGTTTAGCTCCTTCCCTGTTTTATCCTGCTTCCCTCTCCCCTTTCTCCTGAGAGTGTTCCCTCAATAAATCACCACATCCAAATCCTGTTAAACTTTGCTTTTAGAGAACCCACCCCAAGACACAGGTATTACTGTGGTAACTTAGGGGAGAGGTGAAGATTAGTTAAGAGGATTGCTGTCAGAATTAATACTTCTTTGAGGTTAAGGATAGCCCTGGGCCAGCAAGTCCTTGCCCCACTATCTATTGTAACAGGCACATTGTGCTTAAGAGTAAAGCTCGAAGAAGTTGATGTGGTGACTTGGAGAGGGGAGCACTTTAACGGGACTAAAAGGAACTTGTCTAGCAAAAGACATTTAGGGGCTTATAATTAATTACAGGACCATCCAAATCCAGTCTCTCTCACTTTTTGACCTCTGTGTGTTCTTAGTTTTTTTCTCAGTTACAGAGACAATCAAGGAAAGGAGGTAA